ATCTGTTGTGTAGCAGTTAAATGGACTATTTGGACTGTCAGTCTGCAACGTCTTCCCTTCACTCTCAGTCAGCGAAACAGACAGACGTTTACCGTAGTTAAGCAATAGTATTAAAATCCTAATAAAATAAGCAACAACACCGCAGAGTGATAACGGTGCTAAGCACAGAACTAGTCAACTCTGCCTTGTTAACGTGATATTATTAATACTGCACAGATGACATTACACACACACACACACACACACACACACACACACACACACACACACACACACACACACGCATGGACACACACACACACACGCATGGACACACACACACACACACACACACACGCATGGACACACACACACACGCATGGACACACACACACACGCATGGACACACACGCACACACACGCATGGACACACACACACACACACGCATGGACACACACACACACACACACATGCACGGACACACACACGCATGGACACACACACACGCACGCACGCGCGCACGGACACATCACCCACGTTGCCATTTCACTGTCAAATAAAGGATTTCTCAACATATAGGAGGCAATCTAGAAACACACGGAAACGCATGTAGAGATTTGTACAACAGAAGTAGGTCTGAAAAACATAATTCTACCTCTACCTATTTCCACAAAACAACATTCCCATTAATAAAACGTTATATGTTTCTATGTAACAACAAAATAACCTGAAATACATATAGTCATATACATACATACATAAATACATATAAGGTCATGATACAATCATGTGTAACAGCGTAAAATGAATGCATACATCACCAAATGCATACATGTGATTGCGAATACATATACATTCTGCCAGATCTGCTCCAGTCCAGAATGTGAGTAGTTTGTGAGTTCTATTTTCAACTGGTTGACACATAGATTCTCTCACTGACTGACTGAGTGAAGGCAGCAACTGGGCGCCATATTTTATTACTAATAAGAGAGATGTTCCCTGTGTCAGATACCAAACATTCTCCGCTAAGCAAACAGCTATTCCAGCAACTCAAACATTAGCATTGCTATCCACTGGTGGCGCATATTTCACCCTGACTTAACTCATCATCTTTCCCTCTCCTGGTTTCTCCATATTTCACCCTGACTTAACTCACCATCTTTCCCTCTCCTGGTTTCTCCATATTTCACCCTGACTTAACTCATCATCTTTCCCACTCCTGGTTTCTCCATATTTCACCCTGACTTAACTCATCATCTTTCCCTCTCCTGGTTTCTCCATATTTCACCCTGACTTAACTCATCATCTTTCCCTCTCCTGGTTTTCTCCATATTTCACCCTGACTTAACTCATCATCTTTCCCTCTCCTGGTTTCTCCATATTTCACCCTGACTTAACTCATCATCTTTCCCTCTCCTGGTTTCTCCATATTTCACCCTGACTTAACTCATCATCTTTCCCTCTCCTGGTTTCTCCATATTTCACCCTGGCTTAACTCATCATCTTTCCCACTCCTGGTTTCTCCATATTTCACCCTGACTTAACTCATCATCTTTCCCTCTCCTGGTTTCTCCATATTTCACCCTGACTTAACTCATCATCTTTCCCACTCCTGGTTTCTCCATATTTCACCCTGACTTAACTCATCATCTTTCCCACTACTGGTTTCTCCATATTTCACCCTGACTTAACTCATCATCTTTCCCACTACTGGTTTCTCCATATTTCACCCTGACTTAACTCATCATCTTTCCCTCTCCTGGTTTCTCCATATTTCACCCTGACTTAACTCATCATCTTTCCCACTACTGGTTTCTCCATATTTCACCCTGACTTAACTCATCATCTTTCCCTCTCCTGGTTTCTCCATATTTCACCCTGACTTAACTCATCATCTTTCCCACTCCTGGTTTTCTCCATATTTCACCTGACTTAACTCATCATCTTCCTCTCCTGGTTTCTCCATATTTCACCTGACTTAACTCATATCTTTCCTCTCTGGTTTTTTTTCCATATTTCACCCTGACTTAACTCATCATCTTTCCTCTCCTGGTTTCTCCATATTTCACCCTGACTTAACTCATCATCTTTCCTCTTCTGGTTTCTCCATATTTCACCCTGACTTAACTCATCATCTTTCCCTCTCCTGGTTTCTCCATATTTCACCCTGACTTAACTCATCATCTTTCCTCTCCTGGTTTCTCCATATTTCACCCTGACTTAACTCATCATCTTTCCCTCTCCTGGTTTCTCCATATTTCACCCTGACTTAACTCATCATCTTTCCCTCTCCTGGTTTTCCATATTCACCGACTACTCATCATTTTTCCCCACTCTGGTTCTCCTATTTCACCCTGACTTAACTCATCATCTTTCCCTCTCCTGGTTTCTCCATATTTCACCCTGACTTAACTCATCATCTTTCCCTCTCCTGGTTTCTCCATATTTCACCCTGACTTAACTTATAATCTTTCCTCTCCCAACATACTTGTTCACATCAAATGAACTACAACTGAGAAAGCTGTGCTCAGTCAGTAGCAGTAACAATACATGTAACATGATATTTGGCTCTCCTGGACAGTGGGCCCATTTAGGAAGGCCAAGCACTCAAGATTCATGGAGAAATATGGTATAGTGGAATAAATGACAGAGTACTGCATAAAACACTTGCTGGAAAATTAGGAGGTAGCCACTCAATGATACATGTCTGAATGTAAAGCCAAGCGCACTCCAGGCGTAAACAACTGACTCCCTCACAGCAGAGCAGAGCAGAGCAGAGTAGAGCAGAGCAGAGCAGAGTAGAGCAGAGCAGAGTAGAGTAGAGCAGAGTAGAGCAGAGCAGAGCAGAGCAGAGCAGAGTAGAGCAGAGCAGAGCAGAGTAGAGTAGAGCAGAGTAGAGGAAAGGAAAGGCTGAGGTAACTGTTTCCCCTGACAACTCGCTAGCAATTACCCAATCCCCACAGAGACCTCCAGGTTTCCAAGTCAACCCACCTGTGCAACAACGCAGGAGAATAACAAGCACACAGAGACAGCACAATGCAGAGAGACAGAGAGACAGAAGTTGGCACCACAGAGTCCCAGGATGATTACAACAACCATGACCATCACACTCCACACATACACACAACACTCCATACAACTACACCAGAGAGAGAAAAGGACTCCACAAACAGTGGTTCCTTTCTTACCTGTCGATGATAACGGGGTCTGAAGGAGTCTCGTTCCTGTTGCCACAACTCTTCTTGTCACAACACCGACTAGAGAGGGGGAAACAATGATGTGATCAAGTCAGGTTCACACAGGCAGACCAATTCTGATATTTTGCCCAATTATTGGCGAAAGAGCTGATCTGATTGGTCAAAAGATCAGATTTGGGCTGCCTGTGTAAACGCAGCCAAAAGAGGTTCAGACAGTGTGGATCTTCACAGTTTAATTGTTACTTTGTAACATTGTCTTTAATTCTTTAATTCTATATTTATCTAAGCATGACAGTGTTTAGATGATGACGGTTGCTGAGCTGTGCCTGGATGCCTGACGCTAGCTGTCTGTCTGTCTGTTGATTGGTCTGGAACCCAGTCAGTCGTGCCACGCCGGGTAAACGGGTAAACGTCTAGGTTGCGTCCCAAAATGGCACCCTATTCCCATAAGGCTCTGATCAAATGTAGTGCACTATATAGCGAATAGGGTGCCATTTGGGAGGCGCTCCTAGCATTGCCGAGCACTGCTGCTGCACGTGTGCTAGTCTCAGGAAGACAACATGTTGTGGTGTTTTCTTTAGCGCTGAACTGAGAAGAGAAGATGCCAGGAGGCTGGGGAATAATCTTTCCACAGCTTCAGCTTTTGTTTCCCTCTAATTGTCAAGCTGTTAATTCTGGAGAGGATGCAGATGCCACCTTCAACCAGCCTTTCTGCAATAGGCCAGATATTCATTAGAAAACGCTCAAAAGCCATTGCAGCCCCCTGCATCAATCTTTCACTGAAGTAGCATTGTCTCGGGTTTAGCTGGTGGTGGACCTAGCTATAGTTACAGATGGTGATATGACCGGACCCAATACTGTGTGGTACAGTTTTATTCATGTTGAAATTATACCAAACTGTTACGCTTCATTCTCACTTTTAAAAAAGCCTAGTTGTATAATGGTTACATGTCCAGATGAGCTAAATGAACGCCATATGGTGCGGGGAGAGTGTGTGAAGCTCTTTAAAGCTAGCTGTTGAGAGATAAAGTGATTAAAGAAAGTCTACCAGTCCTCCACTTCTAGAGCTCCAAACCACATCTGTGTTTTCCATGGAAATGGCCACACTACAAGCAGTGTGTGTACACACATAACTCTGAAACATTCATTGATATGCAAACCGACATCTAAAGGGAAAACATAGCTTTTGTACATTATGGCATGGTGATGAGTTGTAGTTTGGCCCCTTGGAGCAGGATGATGCCTGCTGTGTGGGCTACTGTGTGGGTCAGCTCGTGACAAACAGTGATTCAACCAACTTCATAAAGAGCAGTGATTTTATCTAATGCAGGGGGGCCAAAATGATCAAAGCTCCATTTCTGTTTTTATTCTGTGAGTGAAAAGGAACGCCCATTGATAGAACACTGGAATGTGCCATCATCAGTGACCTGTTCTCCATTTTGTGTCTGTTGTTGTGTGTCAGTTGAACATCAAACCCAGCTATAGTAGGCTAAATCGATACAGGATTCTGGCCTGTAATTCCTTATGGTCATTGAACCCAACCTCCCCAGTTGCATTTCAAAAATATTATATTTTGCATAATATTATGTCTGAGAATAGGCAGCCTACATAAAATAGGCTATGAGTCTACCGATATGGATTGACGTGTTTTCATTGCAACAAGAGATTGAGGTTGACGGGTCAATACATCTACTAAAGGGGGTATCCCCAAAACCCCAACTCAGCATTCTAATAACAAACCAAATCAATATTTTTAAAAAACAAACAAGCATGTATTGAAAGGACGTTGAAATGTAGCTAATCACCATGACAATCTCTTACCTGCACATGATTTCGTGTGTGAGAAGCACTCGGCACATCTCTGGGTTTTTGTCTTGACCTTCATAGATAATAGCCTTGGAATCAAAGGGAGAAATACATCAGAAATACACATTAAAATATAGAATTGGATAACACATTTTCACATTTTGCCGTTATCTATAGGCTATAGGATATAAGCTTTAGCCTACACCTCTGTAGGCCTATAACGTACATTAACGTTACATTAATAAGTTGATCAATTAATCATTTAATTGATTATTAATTCATAAAATATATAGGCCTACTAATATTGACATATAGGTCTACATTCAGAATTGTACAGTTTATAATTTATAGGTTATACTGTAAAATGAAAACATACATTAATTTCTCGAACATAGCAATTGTTATCAAACAATTAATTTCTGAAAACATATATATATATATATATATATAGTAAAATAAATAAATAGCCTAATTGATTTGCTAGACCACAACAAAAATGTCAAATAGGTTAATATATAATTGGTAAGTTGTTTATATATTTTTTATTCATTATCCCAGGATAATAGCAACCACACGTTAGTTCTCAGCTGCAGATGGGCGGTGTAAATAACACCCAGAGCCGTGGACATCAGCGCCATTCTAATCTACAGATATTTTGGGGGAAAGTGCTAATGGGCAATCTGTTGTTTATTTTGAGCCGCTAACAATGATTTTTCTCGCATAAAAAGCGGTGTCGTGGGTTTCGGTTGAGTAATTTTTGAGCATTGGCTTTAACAGATGGCGCGGAGCTGTAGGTGCGCTCGCCCTCAGTTGTTTTCGCTCTGTCTGTCTCTGTCGCTCCCCTCGTTCTGCTCCCGGTCTGTGATGCACGGCTACGGCTCGACAACAGCAGCCTGCCTATCCCGCGCGCACCGCCGTTACATCTTGGATGAATGTGAAACCAAAGAAGCGGTGCTTTTAATCAAAGATAAACTCATTATAATTAGCAATTAAGTAAAACGCATGACACACTATAGGGCCTATCACAATTGTATTTACATTGAACAACAATGCGGCTATTGCAAGAGGGGACATAAGCGTGTGAATAATAAATAAATAAAAATCGCAACATCAAATATTTCACAGCAAAATGAGATAGGGATTTTCAATCGTTTTTTGGGGCTTCTGGTAATAGTTAAAAACAAATCGACTAGCTTTGTTCCATTGTAGGTGAGAGAGGTACCACATAGCCTGGGCTACTACATCTATATCTGAGGGATTTGGGGAGTATTGCCGTTATCATCATGTGATTTATTTCCGGTGTCTCGGCTGAAGAAACAGAAATCCATAAACTGACGGTTCAGCGTCATTGACTCTCTGATCATAGACAGACCTATAGGCTACAGAGGTGCAGTCAACGAGGAGTGGGGTGAATCTAACGTGTAGCCTATATTTCCTATATATATATATAATGAGAGCTGACAAAATACGAATAAACAAACGGTAATAGCAATGCTGTTTAACACTAGACACTGAAGCTATAGGCTATTCAGTGAACTTGGCGGAGTCAACTTTACCATAAATCCATACTAGCCGAGAGTGATTTCCGAAAACAGTCAGGTTCAGAGGAAACGCGCCATATTGTCCACTCAAGTGGCCTCTCATACTAAAAAGGGGCTCTTGTTACTGAACCGAGACTTTCTTTTAGCAATAATAGTCTCGTCTGTTTGCCACAATAAATAATTATTTGAACATTTCTGAACTGATAGACTGTCAACACACAATTACCACATAGCAGATAAACCCGTTTGTTGAAGGCTACGTCATCCCATCAATTAGCACACAAGCAAAATGAGGGGTTAATTTACTAAAATGCGCTTACGAGCCAATACACAAAGCATGGTAGGCCTACAAACCTATTGATTTCAGTAACCATATAATCAGCAAAATATTTATTGCATACCCCCAAAAAAATATATATAATATCTCATGTCAATTATAATCATGACTTTAAAAAGGGAAATGAAATAGACCCCATTAAACACTTTCGCATAGGCTGCAAATTAAATAAACATTAGGGGGATCTGGACGGGTATACGGCAGACCCCTGGAGCTTACAACCCGAATTAAAGAGAGGCCACTAAAGGTTGTTATTTTAATTAACTATGTATCGGATATCTACACGCATAACTGTTCATCTCTACAGCCGATTCACAAAGTTGTATAAAATAAAATAATAACAACAATACAATCACTCCAAACCGAGAGCGAGCTGATTTATAGTGAAATGTAAACAATACAAAATTCACCCACACATGGCCTAATAAATTCTATGCTCATAATTGAAGCATATATCTTCTGTAATATGGGGTCAATTCGAAAACCACGCACGTTTCTTCAACACGCGTTATATTTCCAGCACCATAAGCACACAATTTGATATGGCAGATAATTATATAAAAATCTTACCTGTTTTGTCATGGAATCGATTAATCGTACGAAAAGATCCTGCTCTGTTCTGACACCTGTGAATTAAGTATATGTTTTAGTATCTTGTCATTTACACTGTGATTTTGTTCACACATAATATTTGAGAAAAATATATGCGCTAAGTCTTACTAATTTTACTGACATAAAATTTATATAATAAAACACGTTTTTTTTTTTTTATAAAACATTTATCATCTCATAAATGTGCATTATCGTCATCTGGTTACCATCAGGTTAAAAAAGTGGATTGATATCTTATTACCATGCATCGCTAACTGAGCGTGGATTAACCATAGACAATGCTAGGTGACACCGACACTGCAGGCAATTTACCACTTTATAAATGTAACCCAATATCAGACTAACAACCATACAAAGTTGTCTGCTGGAATCAATGTCCAAGCATGCAGCCCTGATTTGTACTGATGCACTTCTTAATAATCAGACACAGTGTTGAACATCAGTAGCTATTTCACTTACCGTTGCTGTACAATAACTGTAGTTTGTAATGTATCCCATTGTTAGTTTTTTCATTGTTTGGTTCCTGAAAATAATGAGCATTGAATCAGTGTCACATACATTTACTGTTTTCTTATTTTTGTCTTGATGTGGTAATTATGAGGTTACAAAGTAGACTATTCTGAAGGGGTCAAGTGGGGGAAATGTATGTGTGTGTGGGGGGGTAAAAAACTAAATGTATAAAATAATTTTGTAACATTCAAAGTCATTTAGAAATCCCCAAAACTGCACGTGTCTCCTGCACGGCCTGACGTGTTCTGCCTTTACCACCAAATGATGAACTGTGTAGGTGAAAATAAAATATTTGAGTAAAATGGGGACGATATTCCAAAGAAAAGCCGCTTACTTTGTCCTTCTCCACAAAGTCCACATAAGCTGTCCGTTCGATCTCCACGGGCTGCCCTTGCCTGTCATACAGCGCAAGAACGAAGTGGAAAAAGTTGGATTTTCTGAGATTGGACGGTGGTTGCTTCTCGTAGTGTGCCCGAGCCAAACCCACACCGCTGCGGGCAGAAGAGAGAGGAGCACCTCGGTTAGACGGAGAGATACACTGGAGATGGAACTAGCATCAGATGAAAACATTGGGAGATGGTGAAAAGGTACGTTTTTTAGAGACAAGAGATTTCTTGATTTGTCACTTTAACAGTAATATGATGTAATGAGCGTTGGAGAAAGGGCTGAAGTGAACAGTTACAGTAGAGGAAATTGTAATTGATACACGGCGATGTGGGGATTTAAGGGGCGATCTGAGAAATGCATTACAAATTGGATGGTTTGGCAAAACGTACCTTTGGGCGGCAGTGTTCGCATCCACTACGCCAGATGTGTGCATCCACGAGCGGACCGAGTTCATCCCGCTGCCCAGCGGTTCCTCTTTCATAGTCGTCCCTCCTCTAGGTAAGCCTATATTGTCCTGAATTCCAAACATTAAAACAGTTTCGTACAAACCCGCTCCAGCCAAATGAGAATAATAGGAAGGTAGTTGTTGAAGAGCAATCTTTCCTTCTTGGCGGTTGACAAAATAACAGTAAAATTGTTTGTTGTAGATTAACGTGTAGAACGAAAGAAAAGTCCCAGTTGAGTTCACAAGTCCTTTCTCCTTGAGCCCGTCCTGTGTTGGCACGACATGAACAATTTACAGAGTGGGTTACAGTAGCCTATCTCCGCAGCTGGTTGGAACCTGATCCTAGTCGTTGAAGAAGTCGTTCAAATAGCAGGATATGGTTGTAGTTGCTTCTGTTTTATTCAAGTTTTTATTCGAAATGCGTTTGAAGAAAACTTTTTTTGTTTTGGTGATGGGCTCCTCAAACTGGAGTCATCATACAACAAGCATCAAAAAAGCTTCAGCTGAATCGACCACTTCTGGCAAGGCGCTCCAGCTCCAAAAAGACAAATAAACGAAATGATTACTATGGAGGTGTTCCTGGACACAGGAGAGGTTGATGAGGGGCCTTTAGCGTCTTGCAGAATGGATGGAAGCATACAAAACTCAACCCTCTATCCCGGAGGAGTGGAACCTTTCCCGGGAGCCAAAACTCTAAACCCACGGGATGCGAGCTGTCAGAATATGACGCGTTGGTGGGCGGGGCTTTGACCATATATGGAACGGTGACACCTCCTGTCCCCTGAACGAGCTTCATTCTGGAGAGTCCTACATGCAATAGTTGCCTGGCTGCAACCCGAGAGCTCCGGCAAGTCAAGCTCCACTTTTTTCCTCCATCAAATGTAGAGATTTCCCCCCTCAAATTCACATCCTGTGACGTTAATATTCACTAAACATGAAATCCTAAAGGACAGAGTCCAGCCGATACAACATATTTTAGGGAAGGGAGCTGAATTATCAATAAATACTTTACCCAGGTAGGCTGCTATGTCATGTTCTCAGCAATTAATGAGCAAATATCGGCTAAAAGTCTGAGGGAGCGCATGCCATGTCTATAGGCGCATAAAGGAAGGACTTTCCAATCCATTTGGTCAAAACTAGAAACACTGTCAATGGGATATATTTAACTATTTCTGTTTATTTTGTCTTTTCCAATCTAAATTGGCATGTTTTATGTAGTTTGTCGCAAGTGCATATATAGTCAGAGTTAATCAATGGTATTTTAATGCAGCCGTGTTTCATGTGATGGAATATAAAGTGTCTCTCATGGCAAACTAAAATAACTCTGCTGCAGACAGTAGCCTACGTATTATCATCTTTATATATGGAAATGCGTCAGATGGCTGTATCCAGACTACTATCATTTTGCATGGTAAGGACTCGTATCGATTCAGTGTGCAATACTTAATGTCTGTCATGAGTTTATAAACACCCGGGCATCGTCGCAATGTGTTAGCCCTAATGCAATGCACAGGTTGCATGTGTGCTTTACATGAATGTTCAATATGATAGTTGGTTTAGTTTAATGTGGGTGTACATCATTCTATTCGGTGAATGGACTCAGGGGATGCACGGTGTCCAACCTCTCTCTTCCGAAGAACAGACGTGTATTTTACAATAACAAAGAAACACTCTTAAATAGCCTACAATAATATGACGGTAATAGGTATTTCTCCTTCTTCAGGGTAATGTTTTTTTTTTTGTTGCCAATTGGCAGACTGTTCTTTAAGCTATATGTTAATATTTTAATTAATCGGCAAAAAAAAAGAAAAGAAGTGATGTCCGATTTGGGTTATCAGGGGACCCAACAGCCCCGTGCACTAAAGGGGTGGGATGGGGGTACGTGGAAAGGAAGAGAGTTGTGTTTTAGAGAGCGTTTTGCTGGGGTTGGGGGTTAATGACTATTGCCAAAGATAAGTGAATTATCAAAGCGGCTGTTGTTCTTGCATCGTCTCTAAATCCATTCCTTTCCCGGCCCTGCACGTCCTAATTAAATACGTAAGTATAATAAAACTGCATTTTATTACTATTTTAGGATAATATCATTAGGCTATTCTATTTCTAGACAATTTGCAATTTATGAATTTACAATTTATTGTTTCAACGCGGTAATATTGTACTAAGTGTTCATTTAATGGGTGCATATGCAAATTGCTTGTAAATTAATATTTGCTCGATAAATTGATGTGTCGAAGAACAATGTCACCAATGCCGTGTTTGCAGCGTTGCAAGTAAAATGTTATAACATTGAAATAGGGTGCACTTGACTTTTTAGTTTTTTCTGTAAATATTGTTTTTTCAATTGGTCATAAATTAAGTTGCTTGCCAACATTTTGTATCTCAGTATAATGCTGTCTTGGAAATTGCACCAAGTAGCCTAATGATAGTTTACTGTATTTTTAATGCCGATTATACCTCAATCTGATGACCAAATTAGGACAGATCCTTTTAAAACTGATACTTTTGACCGGAGAGAAAGAGGTCTAGAACAGTTCGACAACCCCATCACCTAGGTAACGACCCCGTCATAAAAAAGGAGTTTTAAACCTTATTTGACAACAAATGCAGCTGCTCCTCTATTTTGGAAGATATTAGGCGAAAATGAATGCAAATCTGTGTTGGGAGCCATCTGGACAGGAATAGGGGAATCAGCTGCTGCCACAACAGGCGCTGAGCCTGAATCTATTTCAGCTCATTTTCTAGGATCATCTGGTCGCGTGCTAAATGCGCTCTTTCATTTCCACCAAGTTTTACTTTGACTTCCTCTCTAACTGCTTCCGTCAGACAGACGGAAATTAATCAAGGTGCTTAGGACGGAGAAAAAAAACGGGACGTTGATGGACATATAAGTGCATATTTTAATTTATGATCATGTCTCAATTTGACATATGAGTGCTTCTCGCACGTGCTCATTCTGTGGCGTGCTTAGACATCAGCAAAACAGGCAGCGACATCTCAACAAGTCACGATGTTGACGCACGGATAGATTATTCTTTAGCAATAAAAATTCATAACAAAGCAATAGCATAATAAGTATGCTGGTAACCTAGAGAATACATCAAGATAAACAATAATAATAATGATAATAATAATGATAATAATAATGATATTAATAATATTAATAATTACAATAGGTATATTATATTCTATCATAGTCACTAAAAAGCTTGTGTATATTTTGCATTCAACATTAACTGTGCGTGTAGCCCATAATGCTATAATCATAAAGAGCATGTGTGTGGATTTAGTTGTAAAGTCGCTAATGTTATATCTCATTTGGAGAAGAGTGCTAATGGTGAACGCTAGACAAAAAGCAAAGTTAGTCATGCAGAAGGTGTGTTGGTTTGAATAAGATTTGCTTGGTGTTGCCAAGACCTCCCGAAGAAAACGACCCTCCTCCTTATTGTGTGTGAAGTGTTCCTTTTGTGTGAATTTACGGGGTGAGGCTTCAATGATCCCCCCACACATTTGCATTTAAATAGCGACATCAACCGATTCGCGTGCCACACACCAGTGGGTTTCCCAGATGTCAAGGCAAAGTCGGTGAGATGGCCATAGCCCAGCTGTCCTCTCCTCTCCTCCAGTCCCAACATCATACCAAAGCACAGAGAGAGAAAGACTAAATATACAAGGTTTCCTGTTTTCATCTCTGATCGCTAACCAGCGTGTGGTGTTACTGACTGTATAGGAGGTTATAGCCTGATGCTGTGGCAGACAGAAGAATGAATAGACTTCACTGAGTGAGGGAACATTGCTAGAAGAAGAAAAAAATCGTGGTTAAAAAGAAAGAATCGCGGGTGAAATGATTCTATCTCCAACAATACGCGATTATATTGTTGTTATAAACAGGACATTGGTTTCATTACTTTGGTAGATTATTCAACAGATTTCTGAAAGCCAGCCTGGATGCAAAAGCTCACAATAAGTAGCGCCGTGGAGTTTATTGACATGACATGGACATGAAATAAAATAAGAGGCTAATTGACAATGCAAAAATATTGAACACAGGAACTCTCTCAAACTGAGACATTAATTAGGGTATTATTTTATCCCATAAATGTCAATTTCCCCTGCAGCCTAAATATGCAGCTCAGCTTGTGATGGATGGCAGGTTTAGTGATATAAGGGGTCCTGCTTTCACGTTAGAGCGCAAATGAACTTGAAAGCTTTGTGTGGCTGTTAGAAAATCCTTACAACATAAAAGACCACTTCTTTTAAGATGCAATTGAATCATCCATATATAAAATTCGTCAATATTTTCAGATATAGGTTGAAAGACTCCTCTTTCACTTCAGACCGATATCGAAATTCAGCACTTTCCTATATTTCACATTTACAGCCTCCTCTCTCCCGCTCTCTCCCGCTCTCTCTCTGCGTGTGTGTGTGTTGTGTGTGTGTGTGTGTGTGTGTGTGTGTTAGGTCGGTCGGTCGGTCGGTAGTTGGCCCGCTGCACCATCATCAACCAAATGTCAGAGCTGAATGACTGCGCATCAAAAACACTCAACTGCATCTATGACAGTTTTTGGTTGCACCGATTATTTTTTTCCACACCCTAATCATCACTTAATACATTCCATAATTAACTGTTAGATAGCACATGAAGTTAACATATATAGGCAAGTCACTAACAGCGTGGATGTCAGATGGAATCTTATTTTAAAACGAGCTGCGACTGGAAAAATCATATTTCTTACTCATAAAATGTTGTTAATATAATTATGGCGAAACAACATGCTTCTCATTTTTTCAATAACCGTAAATATGCCTCTCATAACTCAACACTAAAACAAAGGGTAGCCTATGCTTTATTGGCAGTGCGTCTTTTTATCAGTGGCTTGTTTCAAATTGACTGATCATTTAGAATGTTGTTAATGATTACGGCAAATCAAACATTTGTATTGGCAAAATAACGAACACTTAACGTGCCTTCAGAAAGTATTCATACCCCTTGATTTATTCCACATTTTGTTGTGTTACAGCCTGAATTCAAAATGGGATTAAATATATTTTTTCGCACCCATCGACAAACAATAATAATAACAAAG